AGAGAGAGAAAGAGAGAGAGAGAGAGAGAGAGAGAGAGAGAGAGGAAGAGAAAGAGAGAAATAGAGATAGAAACTGAGACATAGATAGATGTAGAGAGAAAGAAAGGGTTAGGGTGGGGGTGGAGGTCTGAATTTGCTTTTACCTTTCGTGTGATGGTGATTGTATCTTCGAAGCTATTCTTCGATTGTGATAAAGTATAGTATAGGTTCAGCGCCCTTGGTGAACCCTATAAGGTTATTTGAGGCGCACCCATCGATTTCACGTGCAAGCAGGTTATACTTGCAGTGTCACACCTTAGCCCTGACAGGCGGAGTTGAATCAGTCAGTCCCCAATTACACCTGAAATGAGCTGATGACGATTTTAAATCTTTACCCACGTTTGTGGTGTAGACCTAGTGGTTAGACGCTTCGCTGTCGCATGCAGCAGACCCGAGTGGGGAGAAAAATATTTATCAAGCATTTCGGTCTTTCCGCAAGGATGTATCCGTCTTCGCCAGAGATGGCATTAACAAGCAGGGGCGGGAACCCGCCTCCCATATAATCTAAATTGTGTCGATGATGGCATAAAAACGTGTATGAATTTCACCACAAAAAAACCCAACATAACAAAACAAACTAAAATACTTTCCCCACCGAAATGCCATACGGAAGCCACACGGCCCTACGAAGAAACAGATCCGGTTGTTGGGTAAGTCTGCCTCCAGTTCTACCCCGTGCAGCCAGCGGTAGGGCAGGTCAGTGGCCTGCCAGTCACCAGCCTCCACACTCAGCTTGGTCCATACCCGGAACTACAGAAACAAACATAACGGCGGATTGGTTGGGGAGTTATTTTTGTTTTTGTTTTAATCTGCCAACCAATAAACGAATCAATTTATCAACTGATAGGGAATCAATCAATCAATTGACATATCACCCATATTAATCGTTAGATCAAATATTGATTCACTCACTGACTCACTCACTGAGTCACTGACTTACTGACTCACTCACTGACTCACTCACTTACTGACTCACTCACTCACTCACTCACTCACTGACTCACTCACTCACTGACTCACTGACTCACTGACTCACTCACTGACTGACTCACT